GGAGGACATGGCAGTCCATTGGGGCCTGCAGAGGACATCTGGTACTATAGCAGAGGAAGGAGAGCAGAACAAATTGGTCAAATGCCTCAGCCAAGTGTTGACATCAAGTATCTGGGCGAACGGTGACTCTAAGGTAGACTATGTCAGTCAATGGACCTTGGAAGGACTTGCTCATCCTTGGATCGCCGAGATCAACATCATTTCAGAACTACCGAACCACTTGAGCAGAACTCTTGGAGCATGCTCCACATTGGGGACCCTAAGATGACATCAGGTGGCCATCCCCCATCCCCGGGCACTGAGACAATTGGGAGGCTGGACGCAGCTTCTCCCCTTATCTCCTACCTTCCCCTTGATACAGGAAGAAAAAGAAAGTTTGGAAGCAATGATTTCACCTACTTTCCCCTAAGCCTTGACCCTTCCCACCCTAATCATCTATGTAAACATCATCAAAAATAAAATTTTTAAAAATCATGCACACAGGAAGATGCTAAATTAGAACCAGGTAGTTTCAAAATTTAAATTCTCTGTAGGACAGAGGCTGACATCTTTTCCACAAGGTCTCTAGAGTCATCCCAAGGAGGCAGATCCAATTCTCTGTGTCCCCACCTCAAGGCAGCACCAGGCAAGCATAAAGTGGCTTCCAGATCCCAGCTGGCTGCAAGAACTGGATACTTCAAATACTAAGGGAGGTGCTGGGGGTGCAAAGGAGGAAGCCCAAGACCTGAGACATGTCTGTCTTTGCACTCCTAGTCCCAATCCCCCAGACACTGAGAACTCTACCACACAGCACAGTCAGACTCACAATAGCCTGTTAGAATTTGACAGCCAAGGTGAATTTCTATCTGTCATGGACATACACTAAAAAAGTAAAGTTCACATCCATTTTAGTAAACAGATATTCTCAGTTGGGTTTCTCATTTACAGAAAGCAGAACTTGAAATAACAAATAGTTTAAGTCCTATTCCATTTTATATTAATGTTGGAAAATATTTTAAGGGCCAGCCTTATTGCACAGTGAGGTAAGCCACTGCCTTATTACTGTCACCCCACATGAGCAACAGGTTGAGCCCATTGGTTCCACTTACAATCTAGCTCCCTGCTTACTGCGCCTGGGAAAGCAGTGCGAGTACTTGGGCCTCTGCACCTACATGAAACACTGAGGCCATCGAGGAGTCAATCAGCAGATGGACAACCTCTCTCTCTCTCTCTCTGTCACTCTGTCTTTCAAATCAACAAAAAAAAATCTTTAAAAAATATATTTTAGCAACAGTTAACCCAAACAAAAATTTCTATCGTTCTTTCAAAAGTGATCAGAAATTTTACCAGAGCACTTTAGAGCAAGGGAGAATATTAATATTTAGCAAGAGAAGGAAATCATACCAAATATCATCTTGCTATGCAGTTGCAAAAAGACAGATACATTGCACATATACAACTTACCATTATCCTAATGCACACCTTGGAAGGTAGCAGATGATGGATCAAGAACTTGGGTCCATACCGCACACACGGGAGACCCAGGCTGAGTTCTGGGCTGCTAGATTTTGCCTGGCTCTGTCTTTGTTGTTGCAGATATTTTGGGAGTTAATCAGTGAGAGGAAAATCTCTCTCTCTTCCTGTTTCTCTCTTTCTCTCTCTCTCTCTCTCTCTCTGCCTTTTCAATAAAACATCATGCAATGTTGAATGCATCTGTTGTAACTATACCTGAGATAAGTGTGATGCATTTGTTGCCATCCTGAAGACACTCAATCCTTCAATGTGTGTGTATGCATATATATGCATATATATGTATGTATACATGGAAGTAAAATGTGTCAGGCAAAGTGGAAGAGAAACCAGTTTCTCTTCAAAAAGCAAAGCATACTTTGCTGATCAGGTAAGACTCACTGAGATATTTACAGGGTGTTGTGCACTGATAGAGACAGGCTTAAGTCAGTAACTATGAAGTGTAGAAACACCTCGACTTCTCCACCCCCAACTTCCCCTACTCATGGACGGGTCCACAGGGAGAGTACAGTGGCTGTCAGGGCCAGCTAGCAGACTCCTGGAAAACAGATCCCCTATCGTACTCTGAACTGTGGCCTGAAATAAGATACGTTTACATCCTAATGAGCAATTCTTGGGGATGACTTGGCAGCTGTAACCGAGTTAAGATGAGGCCATTAGGCTGGGCCCGAACCCAATGACTGTTATCATGGGTGACGGAAATCTGGGCACATAGACATGGAGGGCAGGTGTGTGTGAAGAGATTAGCCACACAAAACACAAGCCAAGCCAAGCCTGGAAAGAGCAGGGGAGGACCCTGCCTCACTCCACCCTGGGGAGGGAGCACAGGCGTTTCCAGCAACACAGTCTGTACACTTCGCTCTGGAAGTCCTGTAGACAGTAACACACTTCTTCAGCATCATGCAGTAGAGAAGCAGAGGAGGAAGGCAGGCAGACAGGGAGCCAAGCAGATGGGATCTGTAGGCTGATATGGGCTATTAATTATCTCTCCAAGGGTAAACAGGACAGTGGACTCGGAAATTTCCACAGAGTCTCTCTCCTAAACAGGGCATGTCCTATTCCGTAGTGTATTAAGGAACATACCTCATCTTCTTGAGGAATGCTCCTGCTCCGTGGAGGGAAGGACAACATTAAACCTACATAAGAACAGTACAGTGGGACGAACTGCCACCTGGGATACGAGCAGCCGACAGGAGTCCAGGCTGCGACACTTTCAATCCAGTTCCCTGCTAACGCTCCTGAGAAAGCATCAGAAGATGGTCCAAGTGCTGGGGATCCCACCACCCATGCGGGAGACCCAGCTGAGGTTCGGGGCTCCTGGCTTTGGCTGACCCAGCCCTGGTTGTTGCAGCCATTGGAGATGAATCAGCACAGGAAAGGGCACTCACTCCTTCTCCCTCAGTCTCTCCCTTTCTCTGTAACTGTGCCTTTCAAATAAATAAATAAACCACTTTAAAAAGAAACTTAAGAGAACAACGTAAAAGGGACTTGCACAATGGATCAACTGACTAATCCTCCACCTCCAAGCACAGCATCCCATGTGGCAGCCAGTTCCTGTCCCAGCTGCTCCACTTCCAAACAAACGCCCTCTTTGTGACCTAGGAAAGCGACAGAGAATGGCCCAAGTCCTTGGGACCCTGCACCCGTATAGGAGATCCTGAAGAAGTTCCTGGCTCCTGGCTTCAGATGGGCTCAACTCCAACCATTGCAGCCCTTTTGAGGAATGAACCAGCAGATGGAAGATCTTTCTGTCTCTGATTCTCTCTCTAAATCTACCTTTCCAATGCTAATAAATAAATCTTTTTTAAAAAACGTCTCTCACAAGCCTTGACAGGGAGCAGCATAACCTAAGCCAAAAACTGACAAAACAGAGTCTTAAAAAGAAGCCGAAACAGAAACCCCTGGAAGAAAAAGAAGTAAAGCCCTAGGATATCTTACGCATACAAGAAAAATGTTATCATTTTTTCAAAACTGCCAGCATCCACTGAATTTAGAAAATTATTGCAATCCCACAAGAATAAACTACTCATAAATACAATTTTCCTTGAGCCCTGCTGGGTAGAGTTGTCATCTCCAAACCAAGTGGATCTGGGGAAACCTGCTTTTCCCAGAAGGCATCAAAGAAAGCAGACACTGAAGAGAATACACTAAATTCAAAGCCACACAGTATTTCTCTTCAGGTGGTACAGGAGCTGTTGGAGGCCGAGCCTGCTCTGATCCCTTTCTTAAACCAGCATTCTACTGCAGAATTCTCCACGCTGCTCCTTAAACGTCTGTTTCTCTGTCAGCAGATACCAACGCTACCCCGGAAGTCTGCAAGAGTCTGCAGCAAACCTAGCTGAACCACCTTCCCTGCTGTTGCACAGACAAACCCTAAAGTAACAGCATGCCCCATGTCTCACTGCATCAAACACAGCTGATTTAATGCCTAAAACTTTACCTGCATTCCAGATTAGTCTAACAAGCTGCACTACAAATCTGTGGACCTTTACACCTCCAGCTAGGAATTGTTCACCTGCCCAAAAGCTCATGACAGCAACTCCACAACCACAGGACCCCTAATCCTATTTTTCTTCTTTGTTGATGTGCAGCTGTGCCATAAGTTAACTTTTCATGTTCAAAGCCAATGTCTTGAGATGTACAATGTGGCATCAATTTCCTAGTCTTGGCAGGGAGAGAGACTGCTTATCTCCAAACAATGGAACATACCAAACCAGTGATGATATCAAAGGGAGTAACCCACCACTGACAACTAAGGCCAGGTGACTAAAACAAAATCTATGTTTAACAGTCCACCCAAGGGAGTCCAATGGAGAAACTTAACCTCTCAAACACGATGTTCTTGATCCAGCCTGAATACTGAAACCACTGAAAGTAGTCTGTTAAAATTCTAATGTCAGATCTCACCCCCCCTTCGCCAACTTCTTAGAATCACCGGGAGATGGACTCAAGCACTGCTATGTTTTAAAAGCTCTCCCAAATCATTGTAGAGTCAACTGTAGGTGCAGACTACTGATCTACAGGAGGCATCAACAGACTAGTTCTGGAAAGGGTTATACTATAAATGTTCTAGGCTTCCTAGGCCTTTGCTCCCTGCCATAACTCCTTAGTTCTGCTGCTGTGACAAAAGGCATGTAACAAAATATGACACGTAAACGGGCAAGCGTGGCTGAGTTCCAACACGGCTTTCCATATGAACACTGAAATTTAGATTTTGTATAACTTTAACATGCCACAAAATATGAACATGATTTTCATTTTTATTGTCTCCCATCACTGAAAACCATGTTTAGTACACACAGGTACAAAACCATGTTTAGTACACACAGGTCAGATACTAGATAGCAGGCCGAATCTAACTTAGCCACCATTTACCCAAATTATACCCACACTGTGGAGAAAACCCACTTCTCCTCAATTTTCTCTCAAAATATTTGCTCAGTGAATCACTTAACCATTCCAATGCAAGATCTCCTTCAACACATGGATACCTTCTGATTCCAGTTGGTCCAGACCGTAGGAGGCGGCCGTATTAGCACGGCTAGAGGGTGGAGCTGCGGTGCTTGTCTCCAGGGATGCCACCAGAGCAGGAAGAGTGGGGAAAATGCTGGGTGTGCCCACCATCACCCCTGATGTTGTCACAGGAGAGTCCAAAACCGGGGTGAATTCCTCATTAGGCCTTGTGACTAAGTCTGTCAGATCTGCCAAAAAGAAGAGACAGGACTTTACACACAAGAGGCTCGTGATGAGAATGTAGACACACACTTCCAATCACTTTGTAGGCAAGAAAGGATTAGGGACTGGCATGACAGCCCAATGGGTTAATCCTCCACCTACAATCGCCAGCATTCCATAGGGGTGCCAGTTTGTATCCTGGCTGTTCGACTTCCGTTCCAGCTCACTGTTTATGGCCAGGGAAAGCAACAGAGAATGGCTCAAAGCCTTGGGACCCTACATCCGTAGGAGAGACCCAGAAGAGGCTCCCGGTTCCTGGCTTTGGATCAGCTCAGGTCTAGCCGTTGCAGCCACTTGGGGAGTGAACCAGTGGATGGAAAATCCTTCTCTTTCGGTCTCTCCTTCTCTCTGTAAACCTGCCTTTCCAATGAAAACCCAAAACATTTTTTTAAAACAAAAAAGAAAGGATAATGAAGCCAACATCCTCTATAAAAGTGCATCAGCAAGGTAGTGACTATTCCGGTCACTACAGTTCAATAAGGACACTCACATGTCCAGGTAGGGTGGACGTGTGGCTGGCAGCAGAGACTTCTGCCCCACTCACGTTCTTCCTTAATAACAAGAAAAGGTCATTCCCCTCCCCAAACACTGAAGCACCACTCCCTCCCTTACAGACCTTCCACAGCAGGAGTCACATGCATAGACAAAGGCCTGGCTGTAGTTGGACCGGTGGTGGCCAGGGACAGCTCAGGCATGGCTGTAGTTGAACTGGTGGTGGCCAGGGACAGCTCAGGCATGGCTGTAGTTGGACCAGTGGTGGCGAGGGACAGCTCAGGCATGGATGTGGTTGGACCAGTGGTTGCCAGGTACAGCTCAGGCAAGACTGTAGTTGGACCGGTGGTGGCCAGGGACAGCTCAGGGACACCAGCAACATCAGACGTGGGCGCTGTGGCCTCGTGTCCTTCCTCCGGCTCCTTGCTGTCTCCAGGACCCTGCCCTGGTGTCACCAGGGAGAAAGTGGCTTCTGCTTCTGGAGCATCTGTTGTCGTCTCCGGGGAGATGAAGTCTTAAAGGGAGAAAACATTTTAGACCAAAACTCCTAATACTTTAAAAAAGTCACACTCTGAGGGTATTTCAAAAAGTTCATGGAGAAAGAAAAATGGAATTAAAAAATAAATTCATGTGAATATAAAGGAAATTCAAAATCCAAGAATTTCTTCTTCCATGAGCTTTTCAAAGACTATATACATAATTAATAATGTATGAAAGCAGATGGCTACTTCATGGATTAGAAAAGCAAAGGGGAAACTCAGAAAGAAAATGCCAGTAAATAACTGCTGTGTCTTTCAGGAGCCATGAATCAGCCACAGACAGAGGTAACATTCATGTAAAAAACAAAACAAAACAACAACAAAAAAAACTAGAATAAAATCCAAAGTACAAAATTGAACCCCTGAGCTCCCTTTCAATCTGCCGAGGAAGAGGAAGCTGGGCAGAAGGAAATCACACCCAAAACCTCTCGGAAGCATGGGTGCGTGTCAGTTTTCACAAATGCAGTTCTGCAGCATAGCACAACGTTAGCATTTTGAAACACAAAGACAATAGCAAAAATTATGATTACTGAGTTCCTACTGTGTGCCACACACACACAGTGTGCATTATCTATTCAGGGTTATATAAAGTAGTAAGACATGCCCAAGTATATAATATCAATAAGTGACTGCTGTTAAGAGAGACAAAAAAAAAAGAGTAGGAACTAGAAATAGCAGTGGGAGTTTTAAGAGTAACACTCTAACTTTTCCAATGGAGAAAAAGTAAAACAACACAGATGTAATGTGCAGGGAATAAAACAAGCCACTGGCGGCAGTCACGCGAGGCGATTATGACCGAGGAGCAAATTCAATAAGCAAAACAATAACCAAGTTTACCAAACACATCTTACTTTTTCAGTTGTAGTAGTAGAAGCTAACACGAGTCTGTCATCCAGACCCACGAGTCAAGTGTGCGGTCTGAGACTACAGGACTCACGCTTCCAAGCGCCTCTCTCGTACGGAGAGCTGCGGGAAGTGTGCTCCATCACCTCCAATCGGCACCTGCATGATCATCTGGCCCACACCTACGCCATTCCAAACAAAACTGACAGCCATTTTCTGGAGACTTCCCCGAATACTTTAAATACACCAAAGCTCCCAGGCCTCAATATTGTAAAACTAATCTTCCTCCACCAGTCACGAAATAATCTTTATCATTTTAATTCAATCTCAACAGCATTTGTATGAAGCATATTATTAACCTGACATTTTTCATTAGTGATGCTATTTGGCTGAAGCGCCGTACACAGTCCAAAACGATTTGAAGTGAGCATTCGCATATCACACCAAGGCTTTCCTTATGCTGCAGCTGGACTGATCGGGCACGATGAAAGGAAAACACCATCCACCGACAAGATACAAGGCTCAGCAACTTGCAATGTTCACACACATAAAGGCCAAAGAAAGTGAAAACACACAATCAAGCCAGCAGATGACACTCCCCCCACCCCTGCCTTATTTTTAGATGACTTCTTTCTGCGAATACAAAGTCAGAGAATTCATACGGTTAATACTAATGAGATAAATACATAAAGCATTTTTGGGAACACAAGAAATGTATCTGAGGGTGTTTCAAAAGGTTTTTGAAGAAAATGGATTGGGGTCCAGTGCAGTAGCCTAGTGGCTAAACCCCTTGCCTTGCATGCACTGGGATCCCATATGGGTGCCAGTTCATATCCCGGCTGCTCCACTTCCCATCCAGCTTCCTGTTGGTGGCCTGGGAAAGCAGTGGAGGATGGCCCAAAGCCTTGGGGCCCTGCACCTGTGTGGGAGACCCAGAAGAAGGCTCCTGGCTCCTGACTTTGGATCAGCTCAGCTCTGGCCATTGCAACCACTTAAGGAGTGAACCAGCAAATGGAAGATCTTTCTCTCTGCCTCTCTTTTCTGGAAATCTCACTTTCCAATAAAAATTTAATGTTAAAAAAAAAAGGAAATGGAATGAAAACAGTTATGTACACAAAAAAAAAACACTTGAAATATTTGAGTAATTTTTCATAAAATACATTTTCCATGCGCTTACTGAAGATTCCTCCATAGTTTACAACAAAGTATAAATGTAAGTAAGTGTGCCCTATATCATTGTGCTATCTAACTATACAACTAAGCCTCTTACATTTTATACATTTTCATAAGAAGATGTTTGAGGAAATGTTAGTCTATGATTAGGATTCCTTATCCTTGATGTTACTAAAATGTTGGCTCAAACGAGTCCCTGCTGTGCAGGACTGTCCCGCGTGACAGGTGCAGCAGCATCCTTCTTCCCACACTTGCTGGTAGCACCTCTCAGCCATAGCAACTGCCAGTGTCTCCACGCACTGCTGTGTCCCCTCGGGAGATGAAGGAACAAAATTGGCCCCAGTGGAAGATCTATAGGCAAGGGTTATAACCTAGTATCATTTTTATGTTAAAAAAAAAAAGATTTATTTGTATGCTTTTGCTTTTCCTTAAAACAGAACCTATTTCTACATTGCTATTTTAAAAAACAAATAAATTGAAAGACTTGAAGCGAAACAAAGCTTTTTTTTTTTTTCTTTTACCTTTCAAGGTATTTTGCGATGGCTGATGGACCTGGGACCCGTACTCTGAGACCGAAGCAGTGGTCTGTGACAAAAGCACCACACCATCTTCCCGGGTGGCCTCCGTAATGTCTCCTGCACTTTGCCACAGGTTCACAGCAGGTGCTTTTGTATCCTCCACCAGACTTGTGGGGGTAACGGAAGGCAAACCAGTGAAGGCAGATCTCTCAGCCCCACGTACCGTCCCCACGCGTGTCTCCTTTCCAGGCAGCCCCTGAGCTTCCTCTGTCGTGTCTGTGAAACGGTAGCCCCCATCCAGGGGACCGGGGCTTACTTGCACTGTCTGAGATGCTCCCACTCTCACCTGTGTCTCTGTCTCATCTCCCAGCTCGGGGGTCCCTATCTGGCTTGCACCCCTGGTGTCATCCCACTCATCGCTGGAGACAGAGTCTGCTGGAGCAGCTGTGCTGACACTCTCAGGGACGTGCAGGGCTCCTGGTAGGCTGTCAACATCTGGCTCAACACTTGGGGTGCCCTCGGAAGCTGTGAGCAGGGGCTGGGTGGCAGCAGGCTGAGTATGCTTGGCTGTCGGCATGAGACCTCCAGGCTCCGTGCCTGCTGCAGAGGTGACAGGAGGAAAAGAAGCCATCCTATCATCTGCTTCAGACTCCTCCGTCCTCAGATGGGTGGTCTGTATGTCTGTGGTCTGTATGTCTGTATGTCTGTGCAGCGAAGGGGAACGACCCAGACTAAGTCCATGCAGACTTTGAGTTGCTTTGTCGTCAAGGAAACCCGGCCTTGCTGCTGGGGTCCCTTCCACTGAGGGCTGAGTGCGGGTTGCACCGAAGGGCTCCTCCTCCTTCTCATCAGGCATCAGAGAATCCGTGAGGACACCAGCAGTGCGTAACGAGGCCTGGGAAGGTAGGCTTCCAGGAGACACTTCTGCCGGCTGGCGGGAACCAAACACTTCCTCACCTGGCTGGATCTCTGGCTCAGTAACACTATAAACACCAGAGCTGCTAGGATGCAGCAGCCCAGCTCCTGGGGGATGGGCATCATGACTGAGGGAGAATACTTGAGGCCACGATGTTGCTGGCAAGCCTTCTGACACCATCACTGGGTCTCTGGAAACTACTAGCTGGGCAGCCTTTTGGGAAGCGATGGAGCTATTTTCCAGGTCATCTGTGTCCGTCCCCTGCAGCTGCCCTGTTTCTGCAGGACCATGCGCTGCCTCCCTCCTTTCTCTTTGGGGAAAAGCCAGACATTGTGTGCCCAAGTTCACAAGCAGAAGGCTAGAGCACGCCAGATAAATGTACAGTATGACCGGTTTGCTCATGGTGGAAGAGAAATGGGAACATAAATTGGCAGACTTGACAATTCCAGTAATTGACTCCTGTAGAAAAATAAAGCAAAGCAAACTGTGAATTTCTGCAAGTAACACCTTTTAAATTAAATCATAAGCAAAATCATCTCCTTGTATCACACGCAGAGAGGATGGGTTTTATAGGGCTGCTCTACTTCTCCGTACCTTTGAGACACGGATAACCCAGTTCACTTTTCCCTCTGGATTTTGCAGCTGATTTAACTGGCAGCTCCCTAGAAAAGGGTACACAAAGTTCAAGTATTAAGTTCATTGTCTCTTAAACGCCTACTGGAAACACACTACCCCTGAAGTCACATTTGCAGTTTTCTTTCCAAACCCTTCTATTAATCATGTAGTCAAACGACAAGACATCCAGAATAACGAAGGTAAATGTCACACAAAGAACATTCAAGTGCCAACGTGGTCCGAATGCTTGCGCCCCCTACAGACTCCACGGCTGGCAACCCACTCACCCGTGATGGCGCTGTAGGAAGCGACGGCATCGTGAAGGCAGAGCCCTCAGGAGTAAGAACGCCTTGATAAAACCGCCCCAGGAATTCCTTTCCCTTTTCACGCAAGAGGAAGCTGTCTCCTATGAACCAGAAGCCGTGTCCCACCCAAACACAAAATTCCCCAGGCCTCAGTCTTGGATTTCTCAGGCTCCAGAACCACGAGAAGAAAATTTCCATTGTTCCTAAACTACCTAGTTTATAACATCAGTCTGAATGGAATATGTACATCTTAAAACTTATTAGGTATCAACAGAAAGTGCTGAGTTTAAATAAAAATATAAATGATTTTCAATTAAAAATATTTTTCAATGCTTATATTGTTTCTTTTTCTTTGCACAATTCACAGAAATTGCAGGAAAAGCCTGCATACTTCAGATGTTAAGCATTAGAAAAGAAATGAGCGGGCATGGCGTGGTGGCCTAGTGGCTAAAGTCCTCGCCTTGCACATCCCGTGATCCCATCTGAGTGACAGTTCTAATCCCGGCAGCTCCACTTCCCATCCAGCTCCTTGTCTGTGACCTGGGAAAGCAGTTGAGGACAGCCCAAAGCCTTGGGACCCTGCACCTGCGTGGGAGACCTGGAAGAATCTCCTCATTCTTGGCTTCGGATTGGCTCAGCTCCAGCTGTTAAGGCCGCTTGGAGAGTGAATCATCCAATAGATCTTCCTCTCTGTCTGTCCTCCTCTCTGTATATCTGACTTTGAAATAAAAATAAATAAATCTTTTTTTTAATAATTTTTTTAAAGATTTACTTATTTTTATTGGAAAGTCAGATACACAGAAATGAGAGACAGAGAGGAAGATCTTCCGTCCGATAATTCACTCCCCAAGTGAGCGCAACAGCCGATGCTATGCCGATCCGAAGCCAGGAGCCTCTTCAAGGTCTCCCTCGCAGGTGCAGGGTCCCAAGGCTTTGAGCCATCCTCGACTGCTTTCACGGGCCACAAGCAGGGAGCTGAATGGGAAATGGAGCTGCCAGGATTAGAACCGGTGCCCATATGGGATCCCAGTGTGTTCAAGGCGAGGACGTTAGTCACTAGGCCACGCCGCCGGACCCAAAAATATATAAATCTTAAAAAAAAAAAAAAGATATGAGCAGCGTCGGGGCACACCTAAAAGACTGATGGAATCATGCCTCCGTGATGAAGGACTACACTATCGAAACAATACTGGGAGAATCAGTCAGGGGTGGGAATTTGGGGGAAGGAATCCCAGACGCTATGGAATTGTACCAGAACATTCAGAAATTAAAAATTAAATTCAAAAAAGGAAAGATATGAAAAAGGCAGTATAAATAAAAGTATTTTTAAGAAAAAAATTAAACATACCTTAAAATTAGCCATCTTTACTGAATACCCACAACTGCAAGATCAAAGTTGATTATATTCTTCAAAATAAACAATTCATGTTCTCATTACAATGAAAACTATCAAAACCGCTCATTTTTCCTTAAAGTTAAGGACCATTCTGTTTATCTGTTTTTTTGAGCAGGGTTCTTTCTCTTCCCATCATTAGAATTTTCTCAGAGATGCTGCAGGTTATAGAGAAAATTCAACTTAGGAATTAGAATTCTAAAATTCAATCCTTGCCTTTCTGAAGGCTACACGCTTTCTTTCATGTCTCATCATAAAACTATCTGGGTTAAGCACGTGACAGGCCGTAGAGACATCTACGTTTTCAGAGGGACTTCTCCCATTAAATGACATCAAAGCTTTCATGTTACCCACATCTGGCCTTAGATCTTTTTAAGACAAAAAAAAAAAAAAGGCCAAGTCCTCAGAACATGAGCTAGATGGTTGAAGACCAAAACGTGGATGAAATTTTCTACATGCGAGAAAAGAAATGCACAGATTCAGGGCAGAGGCCCCTGGGCAATCACCAACGCCACCCTCCATGAGCTTCCTCAGAACACAGCCTGCAGCCCAGCTCGCTGGGCCCAAGACTGATGGGAAACAGAGAAAGGCAGACAGCCTGTGCACTAGTTCACTCTCCACAAGGTCACAAAGGCCAAGACTAGACGAGCACAAAGTCAGGAGCTTCTTCTGCGTCTCCCTCGTGTGGGCAGGAGCCGCAAGCACTGGGGCCATCTTCGGCTGCTTTCCCAAAGTGCATTAACAGGGAGCTAGATCAGAAGTCTAGCAGCTGGGACTAGACCCAGAGTCCATGTGGGATGCTGGTGTGAAAGGCAGCTGTTTTATCCATTATACCACAGCACAGGGCTCATAAATTCACATCTTAACTGTACCTTCTCAGAAACTGAAAGCCAGAACCACCCAGCTAAGCTTCTCCCACATTCCTGATGCCCAGAGGTGACGCGAAACATCGCATACATATTGTTATTATCAAGCCATTAGCGTTGGAGTAATTCACTATACAGAACTCTCGAATATACAATACTGTGGGGAAATATTGCGATGCTTCAAAAGGTTCATGGAAAATGAAACTAAGAGACAAGTTTATTAGGCTGCAAAACACAATTCTGAAATACAGGCACATCATACCATGCGTTTTCCATGAAGCGTTGGGAAGATCCCTTGTCCAGGATGGAGCGCTGTCATAAGGACTTAGGATCACAAATGTGGCAGCAGGAGAAACTGAAGTGGGAAGCAAACAGCAAAAGCAACAGCCCTCTCAGAATGCTCGGCCATGGTGAGAATACACAGCTGCCCACATGCAGCAGGAAGGGTGGGAAACTGCATTCAAATGGTAAATTACATACAGGCAGTTAACTCTGCTTTAAGAGGAGAGTGTCTGGGACCAGCACAGTGGTGTAATAGGGTAACTCCACACCTACAGCAATAGTATCCCATATCCATATCAAATACATGTTGCTCCACTTCCCATCCAGCTCCTTGCTTATGGCCTGGGAAAACAGCAGAGGACGGCCCAAAGCCTTGGGACCCTGCACCTGCATGGGAGACCCGGAAGAAGCTCCTGGCTCCTGGCTTCAGCCTGGCCTAGCTCTGGGCATTGCAGCTATTTGGGGAGTGAACTAGCAAATGGAAGATATCTTTCTCTCTTTCACTCTTTGCTTCTCTCTTTTACTCATGCTCTCTAACCCTTCCAAGTAAAAATAAATATTATTTTTTAATGAGATTATCTGTATTAGTGAAGGGTTAAGTCTGTGGTAATAAAGAAAATTGAAAGTATATCATGGTAAAATCAAAACACGAAAAGAAGGGAGAGTTGGAGTGAAAGAGGGTAGAATGGGAAGTATCATTATGCTCTTAAAATATCAGAAATACATAATATTTGGCACCCTTTTTTTTTCTAGTTTCACAGTTTTATTCAAAACCTTTGTTAGTAAACCAAACGACTGTACAGTTACCAGATATAGGCTCAAACCATTTCTTATTGCAATAGCAGATAAACACAGGCTTTCCAGGAGTTTACAGCTTTTAAATACAGCATTCAATATGGCTGCTGCAATAGGTGGGTTCACCACTATACATCTTTTAATTAATATCAAAACTTGGATTAACTAATCTCAACTTGGGGGAGGGCAATTTTGAATTAGGCAATCACGTGGCATAATAAAAGAGTGACCTCAATATCGAGTTCAGATTCCAGTTAAAAATTCAGACTAAAGATATCACAATCTGCTGGCCTTGAAGCCTTTCAACTTCTGTACAAAGAAGGATTCAAGAACTTCCGCACACTGGTAAAAGGGGGAGTCATTTGGATTGTAGTAGCGACAGTTATCAAAAATTTTGGTCATATCCGCGACAAATTCCGTCAGCTTTTCATAGTATCGTCTTTGTATTCTTTCTTCCATAGTTGGCACCCTTTTTACAAACAAAAAATCATTTAAAAGAGAGAATATGGGCCAGTGTTGTGGCATAGCATGTATAGGTGTCTGTAACACCAGCATCCCATATGAGTGCCAACTTAGTCTAAGCCTGGCTGCTCTACTTCCAGTTTGCCTCCCTGCTAACGCACCTAGGAAAGCAGTGGAAAATAGCCCAAATGTTTTGAGCCCCTATACCCACATGGGAGACCTAGAAGAAGCTCCTGGCCCCTGGCTTCATGCTGGCCCCTGGCTTCATGCTGGCCCCTGGCTTCGTGCTGGCCCCTGGCTTCGTGCTGGCCCCTGGCTTCGTGCTGGCCCAGCTCCGGCTGCTGCAGCCCTCCAGGGAGTGATCTCCAGCTCTACTCTCTGTAAATCAGACTTTCAAATAAAGAAATGAATCTTTTAGGAAAAAAAAAATGAATGAAAACAAGAAAGATAATTGAGAACAAAGGACTAGCACAAGGCAAGACGTGGCAGCATCCTGGACCCCAGCGACCTCGGGCTGCTGGTCAGTCTATCTGGCCTGGAGCTTCGACTGTCCTTCCTCAAAACAAAGATGGAGTGAGAGTGTTCACAGTCGGTGAGATGACAGCTTTGTATTCCTGTGCATACAGACTGAACCACAGGAGAGTCAGAAAGGCCACACATCTCAGTTGGTTCGTGTTTTGTTTTTAA